TGCATGGATTAGATGGTTCTCATTTAAGGACCTTAAATCAATCAAATCATAAACAGCTCCTATTAACCTCTAATATTGATGAGGTTTATGCTCACTCTCACGGTTGCCTTCCATCAATTTTACATGTGTCCCTGAAATCCGTACTTCTCTTATCAAGAGCTGCCCTCAGCCTAATGATATTGATCTTAGATCAAGCTCAAATAGAACATCTTCCTATCAAGACAGCTTTAATGAGAACTATAATATCACTGTCACTCAACTTCATGATATAAGTGGAACAGCAAACGTTTCCATTTCTCAACCACCTTCATTACTACCTTTCTCTGCTATTCTTTCTCATCCTCCTACACATTATCTTGAAGAAAAATGCTTTGAGAGAAGAATTATAGAAGACAAGCATACATACAGTGGAAATCTAAGAAATTACATAGACATGTTTGCACTAAAATCCAACATGTACCAGCTATGAGATTGGAAAGGATTGAGAATTGCATAGCTGCTACCAACTTTGCATTACAATCTGATGTACAATCACTAACCCAAAAAGGTAATAAATTCTCTATTTGAGATTTGTCTATTTCCACTTTCTTCTATAAATGTTTTTATACAAAAAAAGGTAAAAAAAATCTCCGATATACTGGTAGTAACATATGAATTTTTTCCTCCAATTTATTTTAGCTTCAAATATTCTAAACATTGAAGTGTTCGCACTAGTACTGCTTTCCTATTACAACATTTTGTTTACTTTCAGTGCTTATTTATAATCAAAAAATATATACATGCTTTTTGTTCGTTGATTTTTCATTACTACTTAGCTCCCTCTTTCAACTCACATAATTATTGTCTTAACCATAAAACATTATGAGTATTTTAAAAAAATTTCCAAACCATTTTTTTTGTAAATTTATATCACTGCTATCTAATTTTCAGACCATGTTTACTAAAACCTTTTCAAACTATCTTTTCTAAATTCATAAAAACTTTCAGACCATCTTTAATACTGTCAATATGAAATAAACACTATCAATAATTCTTCTCAAAAATCATTGATTCAAACATCGAAACAATTCTCCAATAATAACCATTCAGTTTTATACTCACTTCTCTTCAATTTTAGGATACAAAAATTTGCAAGATTTAAGAAATACTAATCAATGAATGCAAATCACATTATAGGTAAGACGCATCCGAGTGGAAGAGATTTGCTAAGGTTGATACCTGATTACTCTGATAGGTTACCATTGGAGCCGCAGTGTCAACATTGCGGAAGCAAAGAAATTCTATTCTGAGACAATGAATTTCTGTTGTTCCAACGGTGAAGTAGTTCTCTCTCAGAATAAACTCCCTAATGTTCTAAAATAGCTCTTAACTTCATCCTCGGAAGAAGCAAAAACCTTTAGAGTTATGATTAGAACTTATGACAACCACTTTGGTGTCACCTCTTCTGATGTTAAATATGACAAGAAACTCTGCAAAAGAAATAAAGGAATCTATACATTTAAAATTCAAGGGCAAATTTATCATTTTTTAAATGATTTAAACTCAGCCAATGATCATGGCGAAAACCTTCAATTATATTTTCATGATCTTGAAATTGAGTTAGCCAATTGAATAGCATCTTGTCCGAGGTTATCAGAAACTTTAGTTAAGAAACTCATGTGCGTGTTGGAAAACAATCCATACACTAAATTTTTTCGAACTTTAAGTGGAGTGCCTAATCTCGATAATTATCACATTGTCCTAAAGACCATTCCTGGTCTAGACCAGAGAGTTTATAATAAACCTACAAGCTCACAAGTAGCAGCTTTATGGATTGAAGGTGAAGACAATAGACAAACATGAAAGCGAGACATTAGAGTGCACACTCATAGTGGGACCTCAAAAAATATTCAATATTATTATGGATGTTATGATCCGCTTCAATACCCACTAATGTTTCCTTTTGGTGATCTAGGATGGCACCAAGGCATTCCCAAAAAGGGAATACAGCCACAAACTAAGAGATTGAGGAAAAAAAACTTACAACCGAATCTATTTGCCCCATCAATGTCTCTAATGTAAATGAATTACTTGAGAATGAAGAGGTTGGTAAGTAAATACACGTTTATTAATCAGCACTCTTTAATGTAAAATTTCACAAAAATATCAATTAACAAAAAATTTTCTTCTCAATCCACACAGTAATGAGTAGCTTTCAAGAAGATCCAGATTTGTTTCCGTGCGAGAGCACTATGCTTATAAGCTCCAAATAAGGGATAACGATGAATCATTCCCCCTTCACTTTGCAAGGCTACTACAACAATACGTAGTAGATCAATATGTCAAATTAGAAAGCCAAAGACTTGACTTCTTTAGAAATCAACAAGAGGAAATATGAAAGCAATTTTTACAAGGAATCGTTGATGTTGCGACTAGAGGTGAGACAGAAGCATCAAAAGTCGGTCAGCGAATCATATTACCACCCTCCTTCATTGGAGGACCAAGGAATATGAGACGCAAATATATGGACGCAATGACTTTGGTCCAAAAATTTGGAAAGCTGGATATCTTTCTGACTATGACATGTAATCATAATTGGCCAGAAATAAAAGAATATTTAATTCATGGAGAAGAAGCACAAAATAGATCAGATTTACTTGCTAGAGTATTCCACTCAAAACTAGAAGTCTTAAAAGACGAATTACTGAAAAAATGTATTTTTGGTGAGGTGGCTGCCTATACATATGTAATTGAATACCAAAAATGAGGAATGCCACATGCTCATTTCTTATTAATATTAAAGTCCAAATGTAAATTATATAGTGCAGAAGAATACGATAGAATTGTGTGTGCAGAAATTGCATGTAAAAAAACTTATCCTCATCTATATGAGATGGTAGTCAAACACATGCTCTAAGGCCCTTGTGGTCCTGCTAATCCATCGAATGCTTGCATGACAAAGAATGGCGCCTGTCGAAATAATTATCCAAAAGATTTTTGTGAAGAGACCATTCAAACAGTAGACGCATATCCTCAATATAGAAGAACAAACAACGGTGTCCAAGTAACAATTAGAGGTGTTGTTTTAGACAATAAATGGGTTGTCCCATATAACTCATATTTATTGGCCAAATTTGACTGCCATATGAATATTGAAATATGTTCAACAATCAAAATAGTCAAATATATATATGTAAAGGTCATGATAAAACAAGCTTTTGCCTTTCAGCGTCTATTTTTGACAATGTGGTAGATGAAATCGAACAATATGCTTGCTAGAGTATTCCACCCAAAACTAGAAGTCTTAAAAGACAAATTACTGAAAAAATGTATTTTTGGTAAGGTGGCTACCTACACCTATGTAATTGAATACCAAAAATGAGGAATGTCACATGCTCATTTCTTATTAATATTAAAGTCCAAATGTAAATTATATAGTGTAGAAGAATACGATAGAATTGTGTGTGCAAAAATTCCACGTAAAAAAACTTATCCTCATCTATATGAGATGGTAGTCAAACACATGCTCTATGGCCCTTGTGGTCCTGCTAATCCATCGAATGCTTGCATGACAAAGAATGGCGTCTGTCGAAATAATTATCCAAAAGATTTTTGTGAAGAAACCATTCAAATAGTAGACGCATATCCTCAATATAGAAGAACAAACAACGGTGTCCAAGTAACAATTAGAGGTGCTGTTTTAGACAATAGATGGGTTGTCCCATATAACTCATATCTATTGGCCAAATTTGACTGCCATATGAATGTTGAAATATGTTCAACAATCAAAGCAGTCAAATATATATGTAAAGGTCATGATAAAACATGCTTTTGCCTTTCAGCGTCTACTTTTGACAATGTGGTAGATGAAATCGAACAATATGTATCAGCAAGATGAATTTCTCCACCTAAAGCTGTATGCTGAATATTCAGATTTTGCACAAGTGAAATCAAACCTGCAACCATCCATTTACAGCTATATCTTGAAAACTATCAACCGATAGTCTTCAAGAAGCGAGCTAATCTTCAAAATGTTGCAGAAAATTCTCATTTTAAGACAACAATATTAATAGAATTTTTTCATATGAATAAGACAAATGAAGATGCACAAAGATTAAATTGTACATACTCAGAATTTCTAGACCACTTTGTTTGGAAACCAAACCAAAGGTATTGGAAACTCAGAGAAAGAGGAGACTCTGTTAGACGAATAATGACCGCACATCCAACAGAAGGTGAGAGATACTACTTTAGGCTCCTCCTCTCAAAAGTTTGATGTCCTACTTCATTCAAGGACTTGCAAACTTACAATGGCGTTACAGTAGATACTTTTAGGGAAGCAGCATTAATTCGAAATTTATTGCAAGATGATAATAGTCAAGAAATTTGTTTACAAGAAGCCTCGCATTTTAAGACGCCTTACGAAATGAGAAGGCTTTTCGCTACACTCTTAGTTTACTCTTGCCCAAATAATCCAAAATAACTATGGGAAAAATTCAAAGTGTCAATGTTGGAGGATCTTGTCCGATGCTCAATATTAACATTTAAAGAAATTGAACATAAAGCTCTACAACAAATGGACGGTTTCCTACAAACAATGGAAAAGAGCATACGTTCTTACAACTTAGTCCCACCTAATTTGTCATATAACAATGTAGAAGACCAGGCTAGAGAATTACGAGTAGAAAAAAGCATTCTTGTTACACCTTATGATTTGAGTGGAATCGACATGCTTAATGAAAAGCAAAAACAAGCATTCAAAGTTATTAATGAGAGGATTTATTTAGAAAAAATGCGCTTTCTTCATAGATGGTCTGGGAGGAACAGGGAACACATTTCTCTATAGGACTTTATTGGCAGATGTGAGGAGCAAAGGCTTTCTTGCACTCACAACTGCTACTTCAAGAATTGTAGCTTCTATTTTACCTGGTAGTAGGATTACACATTCTCGATTTAAGATCCCAATTGATATTTCTAAGAGTACAACATGCAGAATTAGCAAACAAACTTCTCTGGCAACAATGATTAGAGAAGCAAAGTTAATAATTTGGGATGAAGCACCAATGTCCAAAAAAACAGCAATTGAAGCATTGGATGATTTGTTAAAAGACCTCATGGATTCAACACAAATTTTTGGGGGAAAAATTGTTGTCCTTGGAGGAGATTTTAGACAGACACTTCCAGTAGTTCGAAAAGGAGCAAAAAGTCAAGTGATAAATGCCTGTCTAATCAATTCTCTAATATGGGACAAACTTGAGAAACTAAACTTAAGTGAAAATATGAGAACAAGATTAGACCCCGCATTTATAGAGTTCCTATTAAAGATTGGAGATGGGACAATTGACACAGAAGCTAATGATTTAGTGAAAATTCCACCTTCTATCTTAGTTTCTTACACTAATGAATCTGATGCACTTCAAAAACTGATCCAAATGGTGTATCCTGAAATCACCAATGGATCACAAATCTCATCTTCTTTCTTAAACAGGGCAATACTAACAATGCAAAATCTATTTGTTGATGAGATAAATAATGCTCTCATAGATAGATATCCAGGAGAAGCAGTTGAATACTTGAGTTATGACGAGACATTAAATGAAAATCACCAGGCTGAATATATCGACTTGCTATACATTGACTCCAAGTTTTTTACTGCCACACAGATTAGTTTTGAAACCAAATGCACCAATAATACTCCTAAGAAATCTTGATCCAACTGAGGGATTATGCAATGGAACAAGGCTTACAATCAAATTCCTCAGTAAAAACATCATTCATGCTACCATATCATTTGGTGAATTCTCTGGAAAAGATGTATTTATTCATAGAATTCAAATGTAACCACCAGCCGATGACCAATATCCAGTCCCATACAAAAGGATCCAATTTCCAGTTCGCTTGTGCTTTGCAATAATTATTAACAAAGTACAAGGACAAACCTTAGACTTTGTGGGTATATATTTGAAAGAACCTGTGTTTTCCCATGGTCAATTATACATTGCTCTCTCAAGAGCAAAAACAGCCTCAGTAGTTAGAATACTAATAAAACCAACCTATTTTTCCCCTCATCAGATGGACAAAACAAAAAAACATAGTTTATAAAGAAGTACTTCAGCATATAGAACCACTACAAATAAGTACATTCATGACTTATCTCTCTTACTATTTTTATAGTGTTTTCCTATGTATGCAGCGCTTTACTAGTTATAATTCCTATTTCTCATTCGAAATAATAAAATTCTCACTATACTTCATCGTAATGCAGTTCAAAATGCCTAGACATATCTCGATTGTGCTAGACATTGACAAAGAATCAAACAAATGGATAGTTCTTATTCAAGCAGTTGAGAGGAATCACATTCAGTACACTCGGAAAGCACCACCTAGAAGGATCCAACGATTCATGCTCACCAATGCGCAAGTACTTTACTAACTACTATGTACATTCATCACCCAATATAAATAACTATAGATTAATCCCATTCTTACAATGACTCCTTAAATGTTTTTTCTCTTAGACTATCCAAGACAAAAATGACTGCATAGCTATATTTACACTTTACTAGAAAATAATATTTGATTTCTAATTCACTCATACCCTATCCTTTAGAAATTGTTGCACTTTAAAATTTTATGTATTCTATATATTCTAAGATCAGCCTGCATAGGATTACTTGGCAAAAGTAGCCTAGATATGACAGATCCAAATTTCAGTTTGCTTGCAAGTTCATTTTTATTTGGACTATTAATTTACACAACAAATTCTGGATATATACATAAATATACAATCAGTACTAACCACTAAGAACCACCTATATTAACAAGACTTAATAAATTTATATTTCTAACTTTTAAAAATTTGTATGTTTTCAAACTGATCCAAATCAATGTTTAACACCTTCTGAAAATTCAGTCTCAATAGTAGTAAAACAAAAACAAAATATAAACAACAGCTTTCCCTTTTCTCTTGGAACCAGAGATTCGAGAAAACATAAAACTTAGCATTCAAAGTTCAATATGCAATGCCATGCTTATAAACTAGACTTTCCTATAATACTCTCACTATGTAGCAGAAAATTCATACAAATTGCTTCCTCTTGCCGCCTTTTTTAATTCACAAGAATATTGAACACATTTAAGTAACTTTAACCACTTTGAATCATCTTCTTGCTGCTCCTGATAATTACAAATTTCATTCACTTTTATCTCATACATGATCATCAATCATAATCACCAATAAAACATAAACAATAGTTTCTTCCTATTCCCCTCAATTTACAATCCATAAACCTAAGATTCCACAATACATAGAGGGTCAAAAAAATGTTAACTGTCTATGATTTACTCTAAAAAAATCACAACTCCTACTTGATTGCTCCTACCTGATTGCAAACTCATTCATGCAGATATCCATATAGAAGATACACAATAATGTTACCTTATAGCATACTAACTCAACTAAAAACACCGCAAACAGGGAACCAAAGTCTCTGCAGCAACTTATGAAAATTGCATCCGACTGTTCAGAAATCTGTTAGTTCCATACCAGCGATACTACATCTCTGTGCAACTATTATCAATGATGTTCCTACATACAAAGTTAGCAAATATCCGTACTCTTGGGTCCTTCATTACTCAACTTTGATTGAGCGCTACCTCGAACCAATTCCTCCAATGCTTCCATGTCCTTTCACCTTTGATAACTTTTCTGATGCACATAAACATGCAGAATCTGATATTACTCTGATAAGTAAGTGTTATATAAAAAACATATCTTTGCAGAATTTTATCCAATTTTACAGTCTTAGATACTTTCAAATCTGACTAACTACTTCAAACTATAGGTGTCTAGGCATTTGTCATATATGCCTTCCCTAAAAAAGAAACAACTCCAGATTCAGTCACAAGAGATTTTTTGATTGTAAATGAAGAGTAAGAAATCTCACTTCCCTCTATTACTTAACACATACATTATTATTTAACATCATCCTTTTTATTGAGTCCTTATCATTCAAAGGAAAAAATTGATGCTTCTCACTTTATGGAATGAGTTCCAAGAGCATGAAGGCAATATCCTTGCAAACACCATTGCAACTGCTCCTATGATCTTTGCTATGAGAGTGAAAGTCTCAACTTTCTCCCTTACTCTAAAAATTCAGTATACATTCATTGCATATCACTCATATTTCTCACACATAAAAATATTAATTCTCTGCTTAAACAGGTTTGTCATTGACAACAATAGGACTATCATGCATTCTCATCAATCTACCAGTCCATGATGAATTGCCACTTCATGAATAGTATAGCATTCATAAAGATGAAGTTAAGATTTTATTGGAAGCAAAAGCATATAAAGATCCAGAATTACTGCTTCCACCGCCAAACCAAGAGGACATCAAGACCATTCATGATGCATTAATCTCATTCGGAACAGTAAGAACACCACAGTTTTTTCCTAACCAATCAGAAATATCATTTTACACTTCAACTTTGCAGAAAATGAAATAGTAATACACTAGAGTTTCAATTCATTTGCAGCAAAAAATAGCATGGATAGGTGGTACAGTGCAATTATCATTTGGCCAAACTCGCTTTTGGTACACTGCATGCTCAAATTGTTTGAAAACTATTGAAGCAAATACAGATTGGATCAAAAAATGTTCATCATGCAGACAAGAATCTGAAGTGGAACTAAGGTGTTGTTTCTCATCTAACCTGTTTAAAAATAACTCTTTTATACTATACATTGTACAATAAACTAAAACTCAGACATTGCACGTAAGGTGTCGCATTGGAATAACACTGACCGATCCGACTGCAAGCATTCAATGCTTAATATCTGGAAAAAAGCTGAAAGACAGATACAATTGACTACTGTGGAGCTTAAGGATGCAGAGACACATGTACATCAGCACACCTAACTTTCAAGTTATCGTTCAACATTTATATACAGAAATACTAATATATAAACACTCACATTGATGCTTATCATTTCAGGGAATAACAATGAACCAAGAACTTTCTGCCATCATGAAAAAGTACAGGTTGATCTGTTTCATCAAAACATATGAGACAACTTTTCAAGGACAACTCTAAAGAAGAAATGCAATCATCAAAGTCTACCCAATAGCTGAAGTCCCCAACATATCATTGGCTCTATTAGATTCACCAACAATTCTCCAAGCTTTAAAAACTAGAACAACATCAAACACCAAGCAAAAATAGGTCTCAGAAGAACAAACGTTCACACTAACAGCCAAGTTGCTCCTTCAAGAAATAGCTGAATCCACTACTACTAAAAAACGATTCATCACTAAATCCAAAACTGCTGCAACAACCATCCACAAACTGCTTGAAGACACTACTACCTCAGCTTCACCAAATACCACCACAATCGACAAAACTGCTGCCAGCCCAACAAAGAAACCAAAACAGGAAGGAAAAGGGAATTGAACACTCCCCAATCCTTACTAAAACCTTTTGATATTGCTAGAGAAGAATTTAGCAGGTCTATCGTGGCTAAATTGTAGTTTTAGAATCCATTGCTCCAATATGTTTTGATAGAGCAATGCATTCTAACACTTAGAATTACTACAACCTCCCTCACCTGCTAACGACTCCTATTACCAGAACCATAAACCTGTAAAACCTAGGTACATGACTTTGTCAAGCTGAAAATGCAGTATTAGAGTCGACTGCTCCAATATCTTTTGATAGAGTAGTGCATTCTAATACTAATATGTCATATAAGCTTCTCTAGCAATCAATAATATGTGCAGTACTTCTATACATTCCAAATGAGGGATTTACTTTTCATATAAGTTAAAAATTTACGTATGCTTCTCCATACATCTACTCTATTGAACTTATTGAATTACAAGTTGAAAATGTTGGTGCAGAAAAGCCTTTTTTTTGGAGTTCACAGATTTGTACTAAGGAATTACTTCAATTTCAAGTCACTTTCTCCTCTTCTCTAACTACATGCTATAATGTTTGTGCCTAAGTTTTGTTATATTTCATCTATTACTCATAATTTTTTCAGTTGTAGGTTCATTTGGTCTCACTTATTAACTGAATGTATGCCTTATACGATTATGGTGAGGTTGGCTAATCAATAGATTGATATGTATTAGAAGCAAACGAGTATGATTAAGGAAGATCACCTACTTGCTGCAACAAAGTTGCTGCTTCCATCAGGGGACACAACCTATTAGTAAGCTTGCAAGAATTGCCATGAATTGCACTTGAGTTCAGTTTTATTCAACATTCGAATGAAAGATTCTTATCTCATAAAGTATGCTCCAACCATTAAGATTTTATTAACAGTATTTTGTTTATTAAAAAAAAAGATCCAAAAGTCACAAAATTTTGACGAAATAGAAAGACGCTTCCTTGCTTGACTTAGTCCACATCAACTCCACTCTATAAGCATATGACCAATATTTTGCATTTTGCATTTTTGTATATAAACTTATAGATATTACTGCTGGTTTACTTTTTTTATTCTTATTCATGGTCCTGGTCATGCTATGCTACAAATAAAGAGCTTGATATAATTGATTGTTGTGGCCAGTCAATGAATACAAAAATAAAAAATGAAAAATGGGCTTCACAATGGGAATGTTTTAGGAATCTAGATGTTATACACAATCAATTTGGGCTTTCCATTTGATTTGAAAATAGTAGCAACAGCAACCCGCCTTGCTCT